TTCTGTGACGTCTGTTTGAATATCGGTGCAATTTTTCGAATGCAGCCGTTTTAATTGCTTCTTTTTTATCGTCTGTTGCGTGTTCTATACGCGGATTGCTTTCGTGTAGAGTCTGGTATACGTGAAAATTAACATCATCCCCTTCCACAATGAAATTCATTTAAAAGTATCTTGTCACTGCTTCGCAGTAGAATTGAATTTTCCGTATTAAGAAATGAAACAAGTTTCGATTTCAAATTTATGGTATTAGGACAGTTTGGACTTTGAATGTACACGATTCAGCTCTAACTTTAAACTATCAATGCAAAATATAAGATTCTATTTTACTTCAGTATCGCGGCACTCGATAAAAATTAAATTCATCTGACTTCAGTCACATCGATCGCAGCTATTCTTTGATAGAAATCAACCAGTCGGATGCGAACTTTTGCAGTACGCCTGACGAGTAAAAAGCGAAAGAGTGTGAGGCAATTAAAATTGTTTCCGTGAAATTAGAGGTGAAAGAGGCGTTTGAGCAATGACTCTTAACCGGTCGCGTAGGACTGACAACCTCTCTCGCGGCGTTAATCAAGGGCGGTGCGTTGAAGAGGAATGGAGGCGAGCGTAGCCAGCCAGTAGCTGACGTCTAACTCAAGGATAGGTCGAAAGGAAATTAGTGTTCCTTGGCGGCCGCACGTCCTCGGTATGCGAGGTACTTTCGGGGTTTGCACTCTCTCTTCCTCCCTCTCGAGGCGAGAGGGCGTCTTAGCGTTATTGGTTTTACCCTCGAGACGCCGCCGCGCGTGGGTGGGGGTTGGTTCCTTAAATTGAAGCCGGGAAACACGGCTGAGAAGCTCGGAAGACTGGTAGAGGAGGGTCGGGGCTGCGAGAAGTGGGTTTCTGAATGCCTCTTTCCTGCCACCGACAACGAGACTACTTCGCTTAAGTAATTAGACTGCCGACCGTTCGTTACCTCAGTCATTTCTGAAGAGGAGAACGAGAAACTGCCGAGACCCAGCCGCTTCCCGATGATCCTGCGAACCGTGGCTATTTTTACGCTTCGCCACCATGGAAGGATTATTTAACGACTTTTCGAAAGCTTCGGTGCTAGGGAAAAGATAAATTGGAGAATTTTATTAAACTTGTTACAGATCGTTGAATTTATCTTTTTATCGGATATGTTAGCATAAAAGCTAGGAGATTCTAGTAAATGAACATAGAAAGTTATTTTTTAACTGGTCAATTTGAAAAGTTTTCTTTCAGTTTTTCAGCTTAAATGTTTTACGAATGAATTCGAATCTATTGAGAGCTTAGAATATTTCTACCCCTATTTTCGATCACGAGAAAAAGCAGATTCAATCTAATGAACAGTAACAGGAAAGAGATGTCCAACGAACGATTAAACGGATCTCGAATTTACGGCAATCAGTTTTGTTCACCGTTCATCTATAGTTTCCTTAATAAATCCTCATTTCCCGGCAGCATGCCATCGAAAGTCCATGGAATATCCTGGCGCATTTTCCGAGATTAGAAGAAAGATCGCCTGAAAAGATTTCCACGGTGTGTCGTCTCGGAATCGATGTTTCATCCTCGTTGAAAATCAGCCAATCCCAGGCTAGGAATTAACTACGTGCATAACCGTGCTCCGCGGATGCTCGACCGCGTGGAACAAACTGCATTTCCGATAATACTGTTTAAAAGCCTGCGTCGATGATCCTCGCCTTGAATGATCGCGACTCGTCAGAATGACTTTCGCCGCGCATTAGTTTACGATCCCCGTGGATTTTCCTCTGGCTGGCTAATCCGCATTTCCTTCGACAGATTCCACGCGATAATCGCGCTGCGCTACAAATTGGATAGATCGATCAAGGAAATACTCCACCAGTGTAAATTTCCATTAAGTACGCCGCAATAATCATTGCCACGCCTCCGCGTCCGTATTTCAATTCATTCAACCTCTGAACGTTCGTGCCGGCGAGCAGAAACGCGGGGAATGTCTGGGCACAAAAATTTCAATTAGATTAATTTCACCTCTCGTCTCTAATTCGCGGAACGTTTCCACTCGTTTCCGATATTCTTCTTCTTTTCCTCGTCCGTCCGTGTTCTTTGATAGCGGATGTCTCGAATCGCGCCGCGAAAAGTTCCTCCATGCTCGTATATCACGGCCCAGTCACCAGCAACATTAATACCAAGCATATTTCGCGGGCTACGTTCCTCCGATCGCGCGAGTCGGAAACCTTGCAAATAAAGGTTTTACCCGCGTATGATGGAGGACGGTGTTAACCGGCCGGACGCGGGATTTCCGCGTAATGTCCAACCCGGCAGATCAGCGTGGCCGATAACACCGTTGTTGATCGTTACGATTTGATTTATTTGCAATTATGGCCGCGGCCCGCCGTTTACGAACGGCTCTCGCGGCGTACCCGCTGGATCCGCGGACGGTGCCATCGGGTTTATGCGGTGAATTATTAGCGCCGACCAGTTTCAGCGTCTCCGCGCCGCAGAGGGAGATCCGGGATCGTTCGGGTTCCATCGGGACCGAGTGTTTCCGATGCAGAAAATTGCCTAAAGTTCGTGTACCTGTTCGCTGCGTCTTAGACGTTCATAGCTTGCTCGTTTATGGACCGTTAGGTCTTTGTGGCTTCGCGTTGACAATCGTATGTTCGAGTGTTCGTTCTTTGTTTCTTGAATTTCCGTGGATTGAATTCTTAAATCTATGAAACTGTGAATTTTTGAATCTTCGTGTTCACTAATTTTCTTTTATTTTCAACTGAATTCTTACTTGAGATTTTAAGTATTTGAATCCTTTGTTCTCGTAGTTTGTTATTGGAGGTTTATATCATTCAGTTTTCAAGTCTTTAAGTTCTACCTCTAAGACTGTAAATATTTTAGCTTCTGTGTCGTGTGTCTGTAAATTTTTCTATTTAAATATTCGAATTTGTGATACTTCGTATTCTCGAGCGTTCAACGATGATCGGTGTAAATATGCAAGTGCAATTAACGGAAGATCGTAGTATGATTCAGAGGAACGATACTTCGAGACAAGCTTTCATCGGCTCCCATTATACCGGCAATCCCCTATCATTCCGGCGATTATCTTCAATATCGTACAGCTCGCCAGGAGCGCAGAAAGTAATAATTAACATCCGTTTGTTACCTTCTACTCTAGAATTAAAAGGCCAAGAACGATAGCCTTCGGAAACATCGACAGATTGTGACAATTTGTATAAATGTTACTTTATCACGTCGTTTCGTAAACGAACCACATCCCCTTAATTTATTCGACGCATACTAATGGAATTGAAACCTGCTGATAATAAATTCCAACTTCGTGCGTACACAGGCATTTCTATATCTGTGACAGCTGCAAACCCGATCGGAACAATTAAACAATCATTGCCATTTCGGATTGTATCTCCTTACAAAAGCAAGTATCGTTTATTAATCATTTCAAGAATTCCATTGCAGTAATTGTAATTTGCTTTAATCACACCCCTTTACGCTCCGGATGCCAATTACGCCGGCATGTTACATCCGTTGCAATTATATCAATACATATCTCGCTACAAAGTATGTAATACATAATACAATTCATTCAAATAGAAATTAAATATTTCTCAGACACGACAAATACACAATTCTAAGCTCAATCTGACAAATTACGCCAATGATTACAGAACCATGCCAAAGAAATACAAAAGTAATTGCAGAAAATTTTAAGACGACCACCGAAATCGAAGCACTCGAATCCCACGTCGATCAGCCGCGAACGATCCGTCATCAAGCAACAACCGAGCCTCTCGAATCCGCATTTCCGAAGCACCGGAACAACGACGATTTCTAGGGTTCCCGCAGCCGGAGTACGCCTATAATAACGCGTTTGATTTACGATTAACTTGTCGCTGCGAAGTCCGAAGGTCCGCCGAGTATCGCGGCGGGACGATAAACGCGGGGAAAGGACTCCGCAGTGTATCCTACGTTCTCGCGAGACGTTTATTTCGTCCAGTGGATGATCCTCGACGTCGGGCTCCTCCCAGCTAAGACTCTCTTGTTACGGAGGAGTCTACTAGGACTCCGCGCCGCGCGCAAAAAGTGGAAAACGAAAAACGAAGGAAAGAAATCGGGGAAAAAGAAGGATGTAAAAAGGGAAACACTTAAAGGCCGGCTAGACAATAAAAGTTGTCGTAAAGTTTGTCAATGCGAGCGTACGCACGCGCGCGCACGGCGGTTCGTTAATTTCACAGATTTATCGGCGCGTAAACTTGTTGAATCAATGTCCTCCGCGGGCCACGGAACAGTATTATGAATCGTTACGTAAGGCTAATCTCCGCTGGTTTATATACCGTCTCCGAGAACTCGGTCCGGGAGGGACTCTCGCGAAGTACGACGCGCCGCTCGTTTCCTTCCACGTTTTATTCTGGCCGCGCGTCGTTCGAGGTGTCTAATCGGCGACCGGTACGAGATAATTAGCGTTGTCTTCTTGCGTACCCGGAATTTATTGGCAGTCTCCGGCATTCGGCTGGTATCCGTTGGCTTAACACGTTCGTCGTCACATTGTCCGTTCGTTCCGGGCAACATTGTGACCGTATTTGGGGAAAAATTGATTGCAACTGCGAGGAGGATCGAACGCGGAAATGAATTAACATTAATTTGTAGAAACTGCTCGGGCAGATCGTCAGTTGCTTGCGGGGATCGGAGTTCGATGTTTTAAGAATTTATTTGAATGCTATTTCCTCCGTTAAGATGCTCAAATTACCCGAAAATTGACTTAATTGAAACAAAGACGTCAAATTTTAAACATTCGTATTTGTACATACCCAATAGTTGAGTCATTTATTTTAACGTATCCAAAAGATCGATTGTTTCTAAATTCGTTACGAACGTCTCAAGGTCCAAAGACTATCTTCCCATTTCAATGATTAATAGAAAATTATTGGTATCAACCGAGAGTAAGCAATAACCAGAATTCCATGGACATATCGGCAGATAGCAGCTAACGTCAGGATCCTCACGTGTTCCAGGTCCACGGACGAGACGGGTGAAGAGGTCCGACAGCCGCGGAAACAGTGGCACCCCCGAGGAGAAGCGGCCCAGGACAGCGTTCAGCGGGGAGCAGCTGGCGAGGCTGAAGAGGGAGTTCGCGGAGAACCGATACCTCACGGAGAGACGGAGGCAGCAGCTCTCTAGGGACCTGGGCCTGAACGAGGCGCAGATCAAGATCTGGTTTCAGAACAAGAGGGCGAAAATCAAGAAAGCCAGCGGCCAGAAGAACCCGCTCGCCCTTCAGCTAATGGCGCAGGGCCTGTACAACCATTCTACGGTGCCCCTGACCAAGGAGGAAGAAGAACAGGCCGCGGAACTCCAAGCGAAATGACGACAATAAAGGCAGATCCGCTCTGTTCGAGCATGAATCCGTCAATGATCCGCGACGAACATGGACGTGTGTCTTCGTTTCGATTCGCGGTTGACTGTGAATGAGAGAGAACAAAGGAGAGAGAGAGAGAGAGAGAGAGAGAGAGAGAGGGAGAGGGAGAAAGAATGTGTGAAAGAGAGAAAAAGATGTTCGTGGACCGGGAACGAGAGACCAGTAAGTGAACAGATCCGTTTTTATTCCGGTTGTTCGTAGGTTTCGAACGGTTTCGTCTTCTAAGTGTGTTCCTCCTTTACATTCCACGAAATGTACAGGGCCACGGCGATTTACAATCCAAAGATTAAACGTTTTTTCGAGAGTGTTTCACGGTTTTTTCGAGGGAAATTTGTGCGCCGCACGATCGGTCGTTTGTTGGACGCGCCAAAAGGGTAAAAAGGAAATATTTCAAAAGTTTTCGACGTTCGTCGCTTCTTCTTACGGATAGACTGGGATTATATTTATTTCGTTAAGGATACACTAGTGCCACTTACTATAATTGATTCGAGATCGATCGATCGCTCGGGGTTTTCGCGTATTTAAGACAGTCCCCCCCGCCGACGCGAATCACGGCTCGACGGAGGGGGGTACCAGCCGGGTGACCTTGAACGTTCAATTGATTCCGAGCCGACTGTAGGCGCCCGAACGACTGCACGAACGAATTCCGACGATTCGTTGTCTTAGAGCTTCCTGTTTTTGATCGGGACACGGGGAAAGACGGCTGGGCAACGGGGAAAGCTCGCGAGTTACCGGGGTCGAACGTTTTCCGCGCGAATGATAATCATCGTGCCTTGATCAACGATAATTATTATTCCTCGCTTCGTCGTCCGCGAGAAAAGACTTAGCATCGCACGTTCCTAGCAATTATACCGGTTTGATATTAACGAGACGCGTGTGTGGGTGGGTGATGCACGTGGGGTGGGGGTGGACAGGAGGGTTCAATCGGGCGTGAATTTTACCTGAGTCAGATGAAATCGGTTTGTACAGTGCCATTTGTACAGTAAATCTCGAGGATATCGGGTCGAAATACAGTCATCGTCGTTTGACGAGGGAACCTTAACATTTTAGAGAAGACGAGGGAGAAAGAGAGACAGAGAGAGTTTCGATGAGAATATGTGTGCTGAGAGTATGCGAAACTAGATTTATTCCGTTAATTTATTGTAAAAATGTAAGATATCGTACAATTGCAATGTGCAATAGATTCTATATATATATATACAAATGCAGAGAAAAGTGGATAGAAACGACTTATGTATAGGAGGAATCTATATATATATATATAAATAAAATTGATAAATCGTCGTGTAAATAAAGCCGAACTTAGCGAGAACGTCGTCTCGATAGACTGTTTAAAAGTAACTTAGTTATTTATTTACCTATGCTATACGGAACGCTCGGCAACGATAATCGAGCCACCCATACCTTGTAAGTGATTATTTAAAAAAAAAAGTCGAATTAAATATTCCCACTATCGCGAGCTCACATATCACGACTTGTTTTACTCATCACACCGTTCTTCCTCATTCCCATTGGTCCGGAGCGATTTGTTACAGGTTCCGTGGCCCGATTTTCCTCGGCCGGGGACCCGTAACAAGATGCAAACGTGCCGACGACACTCTCTAGATTTACAGTCGATTAAATAATTACGCGGCGAACCGGATCCACGGTGCAATTAGCGGTCGTCGAGCGCGCTATAAGCGCAGGATACGGCTTTTCTTCAGGATAGAACCGGGACACGGTCGATTTTTAATACGCGTTTCGGTAATATATATTTCCGGTAATTTCGGGATGTAAATTTCGCGGTACGCATAGCTACATTTTAATGATCCGACGCTGCTCCGGGAATTAATGTTCCGATTGAACTAGAAACGCTGATTTATCGTTCCCCTTGGCAAACAACAAGTTTCCGTCGTAAGAAAATAACCTCGGAACGTATTTCCCTACGTGAACGTATTTGGCGGGACGGCTTCGGTTTCAGGCCCGATACGAAAGAATTATTCCTGTAGCAATAACGCATTTCCCCGCATTTAAACTACACTATCCGATCGAAGAGGCCAATCAAAACGAAACGAAAACGGCGTAGAGCGCGTTCCAAAGGAGCGGTTGAAAAATGCATCGCAATAAGTGGATTATAGGTTTCAATGGAATTTATTGCGCGTGTAAATCTCTCGTGGCTCGTAAAGTACGGAGTCCATTCGAAATTAATATAGTTCAATCCGATGTCTCGGGGGATAGAAATTTCCATAAAGTTACACGGTTTAATAATCATCTCTGGAATGAAAGTATATTAAGAATAAGAGGGAGCATCTATCTGGATTCTCATTTCAAATCAATTGTCCAGTTAAAGAGCGAACTTTCAGGGACCGAGGTAGAGTCATTAAAAGCTGCCGGTCTCCGGACGGCGTGAAAGCGTAGCTAGACGTAATTAACGCGGCGAACGAAATCAATCGGGCGCAGATGTTTATCGAAATGCATCGGGTGCCGCGGGAGAACGGCGCGGCGCAGCGCAGAGCGTGGCGAGGGAGAAAGACGCGCGGGACGATCGGTGTCGGGATAAAAGGCAGCGGGGCGGGTCGATTCGCATTCAGCATTTGGCGCATGCTTCTACCCCCGACGCCGTATTTCAGCCTCGTGCAAACCCCATGAAAAGCCCCTCCCGCTGCCGCGATATCGATTGATTTACAGTCGAAAGGTGGCCATCGTTGATATCAAACCAGCCACGCCTACGTTATACCGTAAACGCGGTGCGTGTGTTGCGCGGCGAGCGGTGTCGGTTAACGCATTTTATACTTCATTTAACCTTCGCCCCCTTCGACTGTTCCACACCCCTCGCCGAATCGCTCGCAGCTTCCTGCAAAATTTTTTCACGCGCTCGCGCGCGCACCAGTCGACGGCCCGGTTGGGCCAAGATAATTTTTATAGAATACCGCGAAGCGAAATCTTTCCCCGATTCGAATCGATTAATGAGTGAACATTCTTCCCGAGGAGAGGGTTGAATGCGTGTGGCCGTTGAGAATCGAGAAAGCGGCCGTTGAAAAATTCTTGATTCGATTTGAAAACAGTTTTCGGGGTCGCGGATCTTTCGATTGAAGTTTATTGCGTTACGGGGATAATATCTTTGTCGTAAATACTCCGGGTTTCTGCTCGAGCCGATCGGGAAATGGAATTTTCGTGGAATCCTGTAGCATGAATCTTTTGATACATTTCAATATTTACTCGTTGATGATGAACGGTATGTTTGTTCGTTAACTGAATCGCAATGAAAATTCCGAATTTCTAGGGAAGTCGTACGAGGACTCGCGCGTAGAAATCATCGTGAAATCGTGAACAAAAGAAACGAAGGACCGACGACGCCGAGGAGATAAATAATTTCACCGTGTTCCCCGATTTTTCTTTTTCGACACCGTCGCCGGAGATCTCGTCCAGGATCGTCCCGAGGGAGAGCCGTCGTCGTCGTCGTCGTCGTCGAAGATGGCCCGGTAAGTAATAGACGACATTAGCGTACAAGCCACGTCCGAGGGAACGGACCGTTCGCGATGAATAATCGGCGACAATTATTTTTTACAAGAACTTCTGTTGAGGGACGGACGGAAGTCCGCCGTGTTCGTCGATACCTGAACGGGTCCCACGATATTTCACCGGTAGGTTGTTAGAAAACGAGAACTACCTCGCGAATCAGGTATACCGGCGATCGAGTGCGAGATATTCTTCGTTGATTAACGAAACAGCTTGTTTTATGCGACGGTCATCTCGTCGGTCGAATTAATCTAAACTTTCTCGCGACACGGAGCCACTTTTCTCTTTGAAACCTTCGGTTGTATCCCGAAAGTACGCACGTTGGCATTACCGGTTAAACACTGTTGTAAATCAGATATACCCATACTTTACGCGACATTAATTTCATTTATTCGCCACATTCATTTCAGAAATGAGTGTGCGCACGCGATTTATGTGTTGTTTGAACAGTCTCGGATCAGATATGCCCACAACAAACGTGGCCGTGCAAGAGTAAAAACTCATATTTTATTTTCACTCATTATTATTCGATTAAGAATTATCGAACGACCTTAAATTCTCGGCTTACGTGATAAAACCTCCAAACTTTCCTAAATTATTAAATAATCACGTTCGTCACGGCCGATTATCGGAGACAGCGACTCATTCCCGAAACGTATGATTAAAGCAAAAGTGGCCAGATAACGATCGTAACATTTTCACACATTAATCCCGTGTCGGTCGATCAAGCAGCCGTAATAACCACCCGGGCGGTGCCTCGGTATCCAGTCCACGACAAGAAAACTTGAAAGAAACCGCGGTAAAACGGCAATTATCCAAGCAAACGGAACGACCGAGTTCAATAAATCTCTAATAGTACACCTGTTCTATTACTAGAGCGTAATAGTGGCCACTATCACCACCGTCCGATCTATGATTTCTCTAAACGCCTAAATACAATCGCCGGGCGTTTGATGGACGAATTTAAGCGTCACCATGTTTCAACGCGATCGCCTCGCTCACGATCTCCACGGGATGGATGTTTTATTACCAAAGCTCCAAGCTAATTGCTCAACACAGAAGCCATGATAAGTAACATCACAATCACGCAAGATTATACAATTTTAGTGTCATTACATGCAATTCATTTGGTCTCAATTCCACATACAGCTATCGCAAATACGATTAACAAAAGGAAAAGATTATGGAAGTTTTCGTAAACACCTGTTATACTGCCACGAAGCAATTCGATCTCCTGTCTCAGAAAAAATTTGAACATCCATGTTCCAAACGTACATAATTAGAGGAAACGGATCGTATAGATTCAATAGGTACCGCATATCCAAAAACAACGGACTACGAATATTTTTGTGAATACATGTTATACACAGCCCAAGGCATCTTCCCTCAATGTAGCCAAGGCAAGCCAAAAAATCGAACACCCATTCGAAGCGTGCATAATCAGCGGAAAC